TCTGGCTCTCTCTCTCTCTCTCTGGCTCTCTCTCTCTCTGGCTCTCTCTCTCTGGCTTGCTCTCTCTCTCTCTTCTGGCTCTCTCTCTCTCTCTCTCTGGCTCTCTCTGGCTCTCTCTCTCTCTCTCTCTGGCTCTCTCTCTCTCTGGCTCTCTCTCTCTCTCTCTCTGGCTCTCTCTCTCTCTGGCTCTCTATCTCTGGCTCTCTCTCATCATGGCTCTCTCTCTCTCTGGGGCTCTCTCTCTATATCTCTACTATCTCTATCTCTCTCTCTCTATCTCTCTCTATCTATCTCTCCCTCTCTCCTCTCTCTCTCTCTCTCTCGATCTCTGGCTCTCTCTCTCTCTCTATCTCTGGCTCTCTCTCCTCTCTGGCTCTCTCTCTACTCTCTGGCTTATCTCTCTCTCTGGCTCTCTCTCTCTCTCTCTCGCTCTCCTCTGGATATCTCTCTTCTCTCTCTTCTCTCTCTCTCTCTCTCTTCTCTCTCTCTCTCTCTCTTCTCTCTCTCTCTCTGTCTCTCTCTCTCTCTCTCTCTCTCTCTCTCTCTATCTGTCTCTCTCTCTCTCTCTGGCTCTCTCTCCCCCCCCTCCCTCCCTCCTTCCCTCTTTCACCTCTGCAATGTATTGTCATTCACGGTGGCAAGTCTCCAAGTGTATGCGGGACTCTGGCCACATTACCTAGGGGCCCAAAACCCGCCCCGGACAGTCCAGCCCCCGGTCCCGCCCCGCCACGCCCCCGCCTCCGCCACGCCCTGCCTCCGCCACGCCCCTGCCTCCGCCTCCGCCACGCCCCGCCCCCACCCCGCCCCGCCCCCACCCCGGACAGCCCCGCCCCCACCCCGGACAGCCCCGCCCCCACCCCGGACAGCACCGCCCCCGCCACGCCCCCGCCCCGTCCCAAAACAGAAAACGGGACAGTACGTCACTTACGCCAGCCGTTTCATTTTCTAGTAGACGACCATTCTGGCCGTAGGTAACGCGTACGAGCGAAATGCGACGCTCTTGTAAGGCAGGTCCATACTCCAGAGGTCCAGTACTCCTGGGGGTGTTGAGGGCGGGGCTGGTGGGGTTGTAGGGGGCGGGACTGGTGGGGTGTAGAGGGCGGGGCTGGTGGGGTGTAGAGGGCGGGGCTGGTGGGGTGTAGAGGGCGGGGCTGGTGTGGTGGTGTGGGGGCGGGGCAGGTGGGGTGTAGAGGGCGGGGGCTGGTGGGGGGGTGTAGGGGGCGGGGCTGGTGTTGTGTAGGGGGGGGGCTGGTGGGGTGTAGAGGGCGGGGCTGGGGTGGGTGTAGGAGGGGGGGGGGGGGGGGATGGGGGAGGTGTAGAGACCTACAACCCCCCCCCCCCCCACCCCCCGCCCCCTCAAAGACCCTCCTTCCATTACCGAGATGAGACAGACTCGCCCCACAATAGTAGGCAAGAGGACTGTGATTACCCCCTCCTGCCCCCTCCTTGCCCCTCCTTGCCCCCTCCTCTACCCCTCTCCTGCGCCTCCACACCGCCCCTGTCCCTCCACGCCCAGTGATTGTCACATGCTATCTTCTAGACAATGCACCATAGCACTGTACCTTGTTCTCTACTCTGTACCTCAACATTATACTGCACTGTACCACAGTGTGGCTCTGCTGCACCGTGCCTTACATGGTACCGGGTACCTCCGCACCGTTTTCCTTCTCTTAGTAGTTGTACCACATCTCCCCATGTACCCCTACTCCCTACCCCACTTATACAGTATGACGCACTCTGTACCCCCCAGACAGTGTACCTCCATACTGTACATCCTTCTTGACCATTATACACTGTACCGTCCTCATTTCGCTCATTGTGGAGCGTACCAAGTGAGAAACACCTTAACTGGGATAGTGGCTCCCCCTACTGTCTGTACCCTACTGTACCTGCACCCCTTAGTGTAGGGTACATATACCGGTCGTGTGTACCCTACACTATCTGTACCCTGGTGTGTGTACGGTACACAATGACTGGCCTTGGGAACAAGTATTTCCTATGGGGAAAAGTACCTTTCAATATGCATATTATTCACTTATTATTATTATTATTATTATTATTATTATTATTATTATTATTATTATTATTATTATTATTCACAGGGAAATCACACTATACATATCAGTGGGAATAGCAATTGGAGCTCTGAGGCGATTCGAACCTGCGACCAAGACTATGCCAGCCGCTCACCTTACCACTATACCACCCTGACTTGTATTACCAGGATTCCATTGAAGCCTCTGCAGGTGTGGAGGCTTCCGCAGGTGTGGAGGCTTCCGCAGGTGTGGAGGCTTCCGCAGGTGTGGAGGCTTCCGCAGGTGTGGAGGCTTCCGATGAAGAGCAGCCCGGGTGCTTGTGGTTGTAGATCAAACTTGGACTGACTTTAGTTCGAGCCTCCAGACTTCCAGTGGGTTCTGGATAATCTCGGGGGTGTGTATAACTTTGTTTAACAAGTCATGGTGGTGCGGAGGTAAGGTGAGCGGCTGGCTGGCCAGTGCCTTTTTGGTCGCGAGTTCGAGCCGCCTCACATGTCCAGCTGATTTTCTAATTATTATTATCATGGCTGAAACGGGTTTGGGAGGACAGATGGGTATAGGGTATGGGCACCTGCCCTACGAGAGAGGAGGGGGGGGGTAGGGGGTGCTGGTGCCCCCTCTACACGAGTAAGTTGTGTACCCACTAGCAAGCACACTTTGCATAAGTGAACACTTTGCACTACTGCTACAGCCACACTTCCGCGTGTAGCCCACTCTGTAGGCGGACACCTCGCCTACTATAACATCGTGTCAGCGAGGCGGACAGCCCGCCTGCCCAGGCTTGACTTGTGAGAGTTTGGTCCACCAGGCTGTTGCTTGGACCGGCCCGCAGACCCACAT